AGGCTTGGATTTTTTTTTTTTTTACACCCAAAAAAATGAGCAGGAAATGGGATTTTTTTTACACCCTCTGGCTAAATAGTGAATTGCTTACCAAATCCATGTAATCTATCCTCCTATTCACTGCATTGAATTGCCATCTCCTATGACAGAGTCAAGATTTTCAAACTCCTACACAAAGGGATACATCCTCTCATCTCTATCCACATCTATGACTTTTTTCTTGCTTGTTAAGTCTTGGGATTCTCCCTCCTTTCTTCCCATTCCTTACATGCTACTGCTATGCCTGGAGCAGTCTCCCTTTTGTTAAGTCTTGGGATTCTCCCTCCTTTCTTCCCATTCCTTATATGCTACCGCTATGCCTGGAACAGTCTCCCTCAAGCGTTCTCAAGCAACTTAACCTATCTTTAGGGCAGTATTTCTTAAACGTTTTAATACCGTGGAACACCAAACAATATTTTGTTTTTAATGAGGAACACGAAGGATTTTTTGTTGGGGGGAGGGGCGGAGAAAAAAAAGTTGGGGGGTGCAGGGAGTTATTGAGGGAGGGGAAAAAAAGAAAAAAAGTGATCTTAAAGTTGGGGGGTGCAGGGAGTTATTGAGGGAGGAAAAAAAGAAAAAAGGTGATCTGCCCCTTTAAGGGCAGCTATTTTGAATTCTGTTCTCTGTGGCACACCTCCAATTGCCTGACAGCACACTGGTGTGCCACGGAACGCAGTTTAAGAAACACTGTTTTAGGAGAGGTATATTCTCCTTGATCAGCTTTAAAATTCCTTTTTTAAAAACTTTTAGTTGAAATGATTCTAGACAGTGCCATTGCCTGCCTGTATTTTTTTATAATGGTTATGCTTAATGGCACTTACCTAGCGCTGGACTTGCTTACGCTAGCTGGGCACGATATGTGCTTATAGTCTCAGTCCTAACCCCGATCAGTTTCCAGCCTGTTCATGTTTCTGTAGCTTTTGTCAGCAACACAGTGACGGGGCAGAATGTATTTGGCTCTGCATGGCAAAAGTCAAATGCTCATTTTGGGTGGAATGTGGCTGGAATGGGAAGGAAGCAGCAGAGGTGGTGGTGGGGGAGTGTTGGAGCTACTTTTTTAACTGGTTCAAAAGATGTAAGTACAAAATGCCGGGGGAAAAGTGTCAGCCAAAGATGAAAATTCACTGGGTTATATCCTTGTTGTCTTACACATGTGAGCAAGGAATCTAAACTTAGCTGCTGATCTTCCTTACCAATGGCTATTCCTGTGTGTGTTGCCCTCAGAGTACCAGAGGTGGATAGGCTGTGGAGCCTCTCATCAGGTGGCAGATGCCATGATGTCTGTTCTGCTAATAATTTCTAGCAAAGTATCATTTTGTCCAAGGTGTTTTCGTCATGGACTCTTAAATCCATCAGGTGTGACTTCGGGTCCCTGTCGCTGCAGGGAGTGGTGTGGTTTGACATGTTCGTAGGAGCTGTGGTCTCAGTTCAGTTTATCAGCACAACTGGTAAGAGAACTTTGATCTGCTGTGAAAATCCTTACAAGCCTTGAGGGGACTGATCAGCATGGAAAATAGCATCCAGTTCCTCTCAGTTATCTGTGCCAGTGCAGACTCTAGCAGTTCATATCAAGGTCAACTTGGCTAGTGTTGTTGTGCATCTGGGGCTTTGATTTTTAAGAACGAACTGTTAAGAGCTGCTGAACAGTTGTGAGAATTGGCAGCTGCTCAGCTCCTCTTAGAAGTTTGGACCTTCGTTTCTTTCATCCGAGGATCTCAAAGCTTTTACAGGGCAGTCTTTTATTCTCACTTTCTAGCTGGGCAACCTGAGGCACAGAGTGTGCTGGCCAAGGAGTGTGAAGGCTGACTAGCAGAGTTAGGCTCAGGACTCTGGAGTCATGACTTTCAAGACCCTTCTTGCTCACAACTCTAGTGCTTGCTGGCTCGGTGTATGTATACATTAGTGCACTAGTGATAGGCCTGCATGACTCACCTTCTCACCAAATGGTGTTTCTCTGAAATTTCAGCCTGTAATCATGTGCCATGTATAATGATCAATATGTTCTAGTTTGATGATTCCCTAGTGTGTAAACTCCTTGGAGCATGGCTGTGCTCCTTCAGTGTTCCGGGAAGTGCCTCACTCTGTCTCTGGTAATTCTATCACCAGGATACTTGAGGAACTCACACTTCATCACTGCATTGCAGTGAGGCACAGGACTGCTCTCTTTTCCATTTTAGAGATGGTGAATAGAGACACAATCTTTGAGTCGGAAGCAGGATTAGAACTGAAGGCTTCCAGGGATCAGTGTAGGGTCTCATTCTGTTCAATATCTTCATCAGTGATTGAGATAATGGCATAGAGCAGGGCTACTCAACTTTGGAAGCCTCGGGGGACCACAGGGATACTCACAGCAGATGCCGCGGGCCGCAACTGAAGTGTGGTTGCATATATATGCAGATTTATGCAAATAGCTTCTTTCACACTGATGGGCATGAATAAAAAGATTAAGGCAAGACTACGTAAGACACAGGCCCCATAGAAGTCCGTTCTGCTGTTATTAATAAAATGCAACATTTTTCTGATTTCCACCCATATGACAGCACTTTTAATGAGCAATGACAGTCCAGGAATTTAACCACTAAAGCGGATATCAACCAAAGACTGTGATATTGACTTCAATGACAGTCCAGGAATTTAACCACTAAAGTGCAGATCAACAGAAGACTGTGATATTGACTCGCTGTCGTGGAGCATGCTCCCAGTGGAGGCCATATTCAAAAGGTCCCGCTTGTGGGCCATGTGTTGAGCCCTGCGTAAACCCAAACCGCATTGTGGGCCGCGAACAAACGGGCTGCAGGCCGCATGTTGAGTAACCCTGGTGCAAAGAGTACATTTGTAAAGTTTGTGGATGATATCAAATTGGGAGTGGTTGCAAATGCTTTGGAAGATAGGATTAAAATTCAGAATAATCTAGACCTATTGGAGAAATGGTCTGAAGGAAATAGGATGAAATCCATTTCGGACAAATGCAAAGGACTCCATTTATAAAGGAATATGGGGAAATGAAATCCATTTCGGACAAATGCAAAGTTCTCCATTTAGAAAGGAATATGGGAAATGACTGCCCAGGAAGGAGTCCTGGAAAAAGTGATCGGTGGGTGATGGTGGATGACAAGCTAACTATGAACCAACAGTGTAACACTGTTGCAAAATAAACCTCATTCTGGAAGATATTAGCAGCAGTGTTGTAAGCAAGACATAAGTAGGGCCCTATGAAATTCACCATTCATTTTGGTCACTTTCAGACATAGGAAAAAAAATGGTAAAATTCATTGTCTCAGCTCTTTAAATCTAAAATTTCATGGTGGTGTAATTGTAAGGGTCCTGTTGTAAAGACCAGGACTTTAACAGGAATCAAAAAAGAGCTAGATAAGTTCATAGAGGTTAGATCCATCAGTGGCTATTAGCCAGGATGGGTAGGAATGGTGTCCTTAGCCTCTGTGTTTGTCTGGAGATTGATGATAGGAAAG